TGAGATATAAAAAGGGTGTATTTCGTAAAAATAATTTTTCTTCAAAATTTGTTGTGTCTAAGACTATCAACTATCAATGCTTATATGCTGCATCATGTATTGTTTTCACCCATATGAATGTTTCCTGCATGCCTCAATCACCACAACGCGACCGGGGTCGAGGAATTTACTCTTCGACCCACACGTAAATGCGTTTACCCCTGATCTCAAGAGGCTTTTTGAGAAGAAGGAAAATGAAAGCGAAGCCATTCTACTATAAGATCAAATCAATTTATCCACAGAGATCTCTTACTCATCACACCATCCTCGTAGGAGATTTCAACTCCCATCACCCTTGGTGGGACCCCTTCTCTAACAAAAGCTCAAATGCCGACCTACTCACCGAATGGTTTGAGGATCACAATCTCATTCTATTTAACGAACCAGGCACGAGCACCTTTTATCGAACAAATATGACAAACCCAAGTGTCTTAGACCTTACTTTAGCCACAGATTCAGTATCTCCCTATATCACTGATTGGCAAGTCCTCCCGGATCTTGGATCAGATCACTTAAGCATTCTCTTTGAAGTAAAGGGCACGTTATCCCGTACAACGAATATAGCTCAGCCAGCAAGATTCAATACAAAACTTGCGGATTGGGAAAAATTCGCGAATACCCTCAAATCGAAAATATCGATATCAACCACCTTAAATTCGAGTGAATACCTTAATATCGCTACCTCAGAATCCAACTCTCTTGATTCCCTTCTCGACAGAGCCAATACATACAAGTATTGGATGAAGCTGCAAAAGAATTCACCCGAATAATCACTTATTCGGCTGAAACCAGTATACCGAGAATCAAGTCCACAAAAAGAGCTAAACCCTGGTGGTCCCCAGAGCTGAAAGCCCTTCGAAAACGACTCTCTAATGCATTTGAGAACGCCAAACTTTACCCGGAAGACAATATGTTCAAGAAAATCTATCAGTCAGCCAGGAATCATTACTTCCAAGCTATTAAAACAGCAAAGAAAAACCATTGGAATGAGTTCCTTGAAAAAGAGGATACCCAATCCATATTCAAGGCAATGTCATACACAAAAGATATACAAACTGAACGAATCCCGAATATTCGATCCAATCCCTCTAAACTAGAAAATTCTTTCGAAGGAAAATGCTCTGCATTTAGATCGACCCTATTTCCTCCTCCTCCATGCACCCCACCGCCCAATTGGGAAGCTATAAACAATCTAAGAAATGGGAATGGCCTGATCTTACAGAGAGCGAACTCCTAAACGCGTGCTCTGCAAAAATCAAAGGAAAGACCCCTGGCCCCGATGGGATCACTCAAGATATCATTATTCAAGCGTACAAAGCAATACCAAAAGCATTCTTCACCCTCTTCAGTCATCTTATCAACCTTGGTTACCATCCTTCTTGCTGGAAACAAGCCACTGGAGCGATACTCAAGAAACCTTCAAAACCAGACTACTCGGCCCCAAAAGCTTATAGAGTTATCGCCCTACTAAATTGCCTTGGCAAAATAAGTGAAAGAATTCTAGCTCAAAGGCTTAGCTACTTAGCGGAGACTACGCAATTACTTCATTACTCTCAAATGGGTGGAAGACAAAAGAAATCAGCCATCGATACAGCAATCTTACTCACTACCGAAATCGAAAGAAATTCAAGATCCAAGAAGAAAACCTCAACTCTCTTCCTGGATGTTAAAGGCGCCTTTGATCATGTATCTATGAACAAATTATTAGATATCTGCAAGAATCTAAACCTCCCAACCTGTTGGGTTTCTTGAGACTAGAAAGAGTATCAGATTGAATTGATTGATTCTCTAGCTAAGCAGTTAAGCTGCGAGTATATATTCAAAAAATGAAGGAATAAGGTTAGGTATTCAGCCTTCGGAATTAAAGTGCTTTGAAATCAAAATATTGAAAGCAAACAAACAGTATACCAAAAAGGAAAGAATGAATTAAAAGTTGAGTTTTGTTTGCTCCTTATATGCATATGTACTATATATGCATATGCTGCCAAGATCCCAGGAGGTCAACACAACCAGCCTAATCGCCTGGATCTCATCTTTTTTGAAGGAAAGGCTACTGTTGCCCAAAAGTGACGCCACCCTTGAGGAGTGGTTAATTGGGTTCATATAATCATTCTTCAGGTCAACACTCCCCCTCAGGGATTGCCGAATCAGGATATGCCATTATTTTTTTTGAGGCTATTCCTGGATATGATTGGCTGATCCGATCTGAGTTGATTGGCCGGATAACATAGTCCTCTGCCTTTTACTGTCTAACATTTTTTCTAGACTCTGGGGCATGTATGCAAGAGTAGGGTTCTGAGAGCATCTGATTGGCTCTACCCCTCTTCAGAGGCTTGTTCCGTCGAGGTGCATGGGGATCGCTCGCTTGGAGTTTTTAGGAGTAACTCTCATTGGATGCGATATAATCGATAATGTAACTTTTTACTGAAGAATATGATGATTGCAAGTTGCGCTGGTAGTGGAAATTATAAATGATACCACTGGACCATGGGACCGCAAACCGGGCTCATAACTGTTGGGTTTCTTGAGACTAGAAAGAGCATCAGATTGAATTGATTGATTTTCTAGCTGAGCAGTTAAGCTGCGAGTATATATTCAAAAAATGAAGGAATAGGTTAGGTATTCGGCCTTCGGAATTAAAGTGCTTTGAAATCAAAATATTGAAAGCAAACAAACAGTATACCAAAAAGGAAAGAATAAATTAAAAGTTGAGTTTTGTTTGCTCCTTACATGCATCATGCAATATACATGCATATGCTGCCAAGATCACAGGAGGTCAACAGCTACTCAAGCTCTCATTCGATGGCCAAATTGAAACCTTCAAACCGATCAATACCGGGATCCCCCAAGGTAGCCCTATTTCGCCAATCCTCTTCTTAATTTATATTCGAGATCTATTCTCAGCAAATTCAATCAAATATCTCTCATATATAGATGATATAGCTTTAACAACATTTTCAACATCCTGGAAAAAGAACATCATCTCCCTCGAAAGAGCAACTAAACAAATATATGCTCTGGGCAAAGAAAATGCTATTCAATTTGATCTAGCGAAGACGGAACTAATACACTTCTCTACATCCAAAGATACGAAGACAGCCTCAATCAAGCTTCCGAACGAGGAGATAATTCAACCCTCAACACTAGTCAGATGGCTAGGCATATGGTTCGACCCTGGCCTCAGTTTCAAACAACATGTCACAATCCGAGCTACCCAGGCTAAAACCTCATTCTACCGAATGGCTAGACTTGCTAATTCTGAAAAAGGCCTTAGTCCCAAGGCAATGAGACAGCTCTATATGGCATGCGTCACCAGCATAGCTGACTACGGTTCAATTTTATGGTGGAAAGGGCAAAACCAATTCAAGAAAATCCTTCAATCCTTGCAAAACCTCGCCCTTCGAAAAATCCTAGGAGTATTCAAAACCTCACCAATAAAACCAATGGAAATAGAAGCCGCATTGTGCCCTCCAGAAGTACGGCTAAATGCTGGAATCAAACAATACGCATTTAGATTATTGAAAATCTCGCCTTCTCATCCTGTCAATTTAGTAGCTACAAAGCTGGCTACAGAAAAGGAGAATCAAGATGTAGTTGCAACCCCTCAAAGAAAGCAATTAAAACCTACTCAACTCGAAAAGATCAAAAATTCAATTCAGAAAGACTTCGATCCTCTCACTTTAGAAGGAATTCATCACTTCTACTTTCCTCCTTGGAAGAAAGAAGTTCCATATAAAGTCAATATCAGCAAATTAGGAAAAGAAGAAGCTGCGATGATTCACAATCTGGCTTTCAAATATAGGTGCAAAAATACTATTACAATATACACCGATGCCTCATCCACTTTAGAGGGAATAGGGATTGGAATCGGGATAGCGGTTATCTTACCAAATGGCCGAATTTCTCATCAAGAGACTATCAATATAGGTGTGAATCAGCTTGTCTATAATGGGGAGCTTCTAGGAGTTGCTAAAGCGATCGAATACGCAAATTCAATAGCCCAACCAGGAAACAAGTTCAAGATATACTGTTGACCTCCTGGGATCTTGGCAGCATATGCATATATAGTACATATGCATATAAGGAGCAAACAAAACTCAACTTTTAATTCATTCTTTCCTTTTTGGTATATTGTTTGTTTGCTTTCAATATTTTGATTTCAAAGCACTTTAATTCCGAAGGCCGAATACCTAACCTATTCCTTCATTTTTTTCAATATATACTCGCAGCTTAACTGCTCAGCTAGAAAATCAATCAATTCAATCTGATACTCTTTCTGGTCTTAAGAAACCCAACATATACTCAGATAATCAAGCAGGATTATTCCGGTTGAAAACCCCCTCCGATTTACCTGGTCAATTATGTCAAATCAAAGCTATAAAAGCTGCGGAAGCTATTCAAAATAAAGGAGCCGAAATCTCTATCAATTGGGTCCCCGGACATACATCTGTACAAGGAAATGAGCTAGCTGATTCTCTTGCAAAAGAGGCGACCAAAATACCATCCTCATCTCACGAAACCAGTTATGCCTCCATTGGAATGGATATAAAAAGAATGAAATCAGAGAACTGGATAGCCATCCTTAACACTAACAACTTTCATCAACCATCGTCAACATATTCAAGAAACTACCCCTGGAAGATCAGCTCAAAAATCAGAATTCCAGGAAACATCAAAAGAAGCACAATCTGTGCTCTGTTCCAACTCAAAATTGGACACGGATACTTCAAATCTTATTTGAAACGATTCGGTATCTCCTCTAATGACAATTGTAGATGTGGGGGAAAGGAATCTCCTGATCATCTTCTGCTCAGTTGTCCTTTATATAAAATGGCAAGGAAAACCCTCAATAAGGATAACCCCACAGTCCGACCTACCATGAAATATCTGCTTCATACTAAAGCAGGAATCATCAAGACCCTCGAATTTATCGAGGCAACGAGAATAGCCACCAGATCATGGCATCTCAATAGAATGCATGAAGAAGAAGAGGAAGAAGGCGGAGAAGAAGGGGGGTGGACCGGAAGATTGTGATTGAATTGATCAATTATGGCCAATTTGGTCAATTTAGTCAATTTGGTCAATTTGGTCAATTTGGTCAATTTAGTCAATTTGGTCAATTTGGTCATTTTGGTCAATTTGGTCAATTTGGTCAACTTGGTCAATTTGGTCAATTTGGGCAATCACCCCAATGTCAAATTTCATTACATTTCATTTGTTATTCCTCTTACTTGAATACGAGAGTATCTGTAAGGCGGGCTTGGTTCCCTAGTATTAGTTTTCACTTCCCCCATTCAAACATTAGAAGATTGAGGCTTTCAATCTCCCCAACCTGTATTAGCTACGGTCGAATAAGGCCAGCCACCCTCCATTTACTATTGTTAGAAGCCTAGGAGCTACATGCACTTCACCAGGAGTAGACCGAGCCACTGTTCGCCTCCTCAAGGCATGCTGGCCGAGCGTCAAAACACTGATCCGGGAGATCTTTGCATCGTGCCTAGCTTTAAACTACTATCCAGAAGGATGGAAGCTAGCGGAAGTGGTGATGCTCCCCAAGGTAGGCAAGAAAGATAAAACGTCACCGCGCTCATGGCGGCCGATAGCCCTGATCTCCTGCATTGGAAAGGGACTCGAACGATACATAGCCAGTCAAATATCCTGGACAGCTCTAAGACACAACGTGATCAGCCCACAGCACTGCGGGGCACTCCCAAGGAGATCAGGAACGGATTTGACTGCTGCTTTCACTCACGATGCAGAGCTTGCACTAGCAACTGGTAACGTAGTCTCGATTGTCACGATGGATGTACAAGGAGCCTTTGACGCTCTTCTAAAGCGCCGACTCCTAGACCGAATGATCAAGCAAGGATGGCCAATCTCGCTGCTCAGGCTTATAGACTCGTTCCTTACAAACAGAAAAGTCAGGGTGAGACTCGAAGGCACTACAACAAAGGAATATCCAGTAGCATGCGGCACTCCCCAAGGGTCCCCATTATCACCTATACTTTATATGCTATATCTTGCCGAGCTCCTCAACCGAGATACAAAATACCGCTTCGGCTATGCGGACGACATCGCGATCTATCATTCCTCCAAACATCTATCTACGAATGCCAGGATCCTCCAACGACGTGTTCGGCAGATCATTCGATGGGGCAAGGACAATAAAATCCTATTCGCCCCAGAGAAATTCGAGCTACTCCATATAACCAGGCGGCACGACACAACCAATCCACCATTAGTCGTAAGCCCGGATCTGATAATCACTCCAGTACCCATCGCAACCAGTGAAAGCATCCAGCCTACTCTAAGATGGCTTGGAATCTTCTTCGACCGCCGGCTCTCATTTCTACAGCATGTCAAAACACGTACAGCGAAAGCCATGAAAGTAGCCTCGCATATCAGATCAATAGCCCGGACTCTGCATGGGCCACCAGCCTCCTTTCTGAGAAAAGCAGTGATCACCTGCGTTCTTCCAGTGGCGCTATTCGGCACTGAAGTATGGTACGCCGGTAGATCGAAACCCAATCTAGGCCAACACGAGTCAAGTATAAGCACAGGCACCAAAGGCCACCTCCGCTATATCAACAAAGTGATCAATACGGCTGCAAGAGGAACAATCCCAGTATACAAAACTACACCGACTGCAGCACTTATAAAAGAAGCTGGCCTACCATCAGGGATAGTTGCACTGGAACACGCCAAGCTGAGATTCGCTCTCCGCTTACAAACGATCGACAGCAGGCACCTGCTAGTGAGCCGCTTGAAGCCCACTATACGGAAAAGGGGGCGAGGGGCTGGCACAGCTAGAGGGCCTCTCACAAGGATCCAGCGGCTCGGCCTGATCATCCCAGAAACCCAACGGCCGAAACTACTCCGCCCACACGTCTCGCCAGGATGCAGAACCGATCCTACAGAAGGGCGAACCAAGGAAGAGGCAGCACAGGCCTTTAAGGAGTGGTGGCCAAAGCTCCCGCCCGAGGACTACTCGATCTTCTCAGACGGATCCGAGCAGACTATAGATCGCAAGCACCACGTTGGCTATGGTTACGCGATCTATCGCAACGGCACTCAAATAGCAACCGGATACAAACAGATCCACAGCGACTCACACGTGTTCGATGCAGAAGCGATAGGAGCATGGCGCGGACTGGAGCACCTGATCAGCACACTCGCAGGTCCCCCAAACGGTAGGATCTGGATGTGTATCGACAGCACATCAGTCATCTGGGGTATGCGAGGAGATGCGCCGCCTACATCGCAATGGGCTTTCCACAAGTGCCACAAGGCAATCAGACAACTCAATATCAGAGTAAAGTGGTCCCCTGGACATATGGAGATCGAAGGCAATGAGGAGGCGGATCGCCTAGCGAATGCAGGAGCAGTTGGACCCATGGATCAAGCGGCCGACAAGTTACCCACGATCAGTGGTGTGCGAACGATCTTTCGTAAAAAGTGCCTGCGAGCAGAGACTGACTGGTGGAAAGAGGTAATTGCCTCCCTCTCGTCTAGCTATAAAAAGTGGTCTCCCAACTACAATACAAAGGAGCCGA